CTTGCCTCCCTTGCTTGGCTCCTTCCCTTTCTTGGATCCTTAACTACGAAAGAGATCTCGCCCTTGATAAATAGATTCACCAATTTCCCGGGAAGAGATTTTCTTGACGTATTTCTTCAGTTTCACCTCTTAGATGAGGCAATCTATCTCCTTTTTGAGTTGGTAGGAGTTCTTTGTTTAATGCTCATTGACCTTGAGGAACTTGCACTAACTACGAGATCTTGCTCCATGACATCTATCTTGGGAGCTAACGGTTGGGGGATGTTATACATATGTAAGACCTTTTTCCATATCTGCCCTTGAAGGGTGTTCAGGGAGTGAAGCTTTCAGTGGGCTTTCCACTTTGTTTGAACGTTGTTCTATCCCTCACGGGTGAAGTGTACTGACTCCTTTGTGAGTTATCCGCATTAGGGGTGTGTTCTTTGGCATTAAACCTTCTTTTCAGCACTTCTTTCCTCTTTCTTAGTGTAACATTCCGCCCGAGTCACCATTTTGGCCAAGGACGTAGCTAGTCTCTAAGCTAGTGATTCATTGGAGTGTCGTACCCTAACCCATTTTGAAATGCTTCTATGAACACCTATTGGTTCAGATGAACCATATTGATCGTCTCCCCGCTAAAATGGGCGAGGTACTCCTTCAAAGACTCGTAGGGGCCTCGGCAAATGTTGAATATGATAATGGTGGTCATATTTTTGTGCCTGCTAGCGGCAAATAGATGGACTAGCTTATTCAAAAATTCCTGATAGTTGGTGATAACGAGCTAAGGGAGGTCCATATATCACCTCAGAGCTGCATCTCTAAAGGTACCGGATAGAAGTTTGCATTTCAAAGAATCAAGTACTCCAATGATGGTCTTTTGAGTATTTATGGAGGTGGCATGTTCAAACGGGTTACTGCGCTCATCGAACTTAGCCAATGATGACAACTTAAGGTTTTTTGGAACGTAAACCTCTCATACCTCATATGATAAAGATTATAAGTCTCATATTTTATAGTTTTCACACATTGGTTAACTTTCAACTATATAAACATTAAAGTCCAATAGTCAAGTTTTGTCCCTTAGGAAGTTAGAGTTATGTTAGTATCAAGATTATATATGGTGTACTTCAGAATGGATAAACAATGATTTTATCTTAAGGACGGTATAATTAATATTCTACTTGCACAATTTCAAACAATACTATGAGATATTTTAAAGAGAGTGACTTAATACACAATTCATCTTTGTAGTCTCTTTGATAGATGAAATAGTTTTTAAAATAACTTTATTCTAATTACAACCGTGAACGAATTAGATGTTAAGCAATGTATAGTTCAATCGTTTTATTACCATAAAAAAGTTTGATAAATAACCAAACTATCACACCACGACCAAACATATTGACGTGAAGTTTCATAAGAATAAGAGCAAACATGCCAATGTTAGGTTTCACAATAACAAAACCATATAGTTGTTTAAATTTTTTTTTACTCCATCTCATCTGGTTGCTTTTAAATGGCATTTATATTTCCATCATCAATAACAACAATTTGCTACGTGAAACATAGTAGTAATTTGGTAGGCAAGTACTAAGTTAATAGGTGAACTATAACTGACATCAGTAGAACACAGAATAGAATATAGCAAAGTCAAATTTCAACAAACAGACAGGCCACCAATTTGTATATTACCAGCCGTCCTATCCTATAATCAATCTTTTAGCATGCTATAGGATATAGCTTAGGGATTTTCATGGTCAGAATATAATAAAATTGATTATAATTGTATTATATTTTATTTCAATTAATGTTTGTTAAAATAATAGAATGAGTTCCTTTTTCTTTTCATAATTTAAATTTTAATTATTAATATGAATTGATTAGAAATCATCAATTCAATAATACATAATAAAAATAATTTATAATTTATAAAATATAATCTGATAAGAAGTAAAAATATTAAAAAATAATTTTAAAATATGTATAGTTTTGCCACAAGAATAATTTTTAACTTATATAATCTAAAAATTTAAAAGCCTCTTAAGTAATAAAATTTAAAAAAGTATTATTATTTAAAAATACGTATATGTAGTATATGTATTTAAATTTAAATTTAAAATTTTAACAAACTAAATATTTTTTATAAAGATAGTTTTTGATCTAAAATATTTAAATATTATCGGAAAAATATAACATTTATAATATATTTATTTATATAAATAAAATAGAGAAAAATGTTTTTATTAATTAAAGTAAAATTAATGGTCATTTTATATCTATGATCGGAAAAGATTGGAACCCTGTCTCATTAAGTTACAAAGATAAACTCTTTTTCATAAAATTATAAATTTAAATTCTTGTTATTAATGGGCTAGAAACTCGTGAACAATGTATAATCAAATTATTTACTTATTCATGATATTTTTAAGTGAAATTTTTTATTTTGTAGTGTCAACAATTTTTATAAAAACTATTTACTTATTAAATTTTTATTACTTTTCTAATTTAAAAATATTACAAAAGAGTTTGGAGAAAAATAAGTAATTGATTCACACGGCAACTTTATTATTAAAAAATCTTTGTGTAATGAAAATATATACTGTTGAATTAAAAAATCTTTGTGTAATGAAAATATATACTGTTGAATGATATTATCACTTTTTTTATCTTATGCATATTTTTTATAATAAAAAGAATCTAAGTCCATCAACTAAAGAAAGACTCTAAACCTTTCACTTTAGGATAGTTATTTTTTTAAAATCATCATTTAACAAACTCATAATAAAAACTCCGGTGCAACATCAAATATTTTACTTTCGAAATCTTAGTACAATTTACATTAGTTAATATATTAACACATTTATTAGCTTCTCTAAATAAATACACCACACCACCTTCACAATCTTATGTTCATTGATTAACCGCTTAATCTGTTTAATCAAAGTCAAGCCTTCAACCATACTCAGTTTTCTCTTCTCTATAGCTTGTACTATAATTATAGAATCTACATTAATCTAAACCTTACATAAATTTAACTACTTAATGAGATTAATTAGTGAGATTAAGCTCTTCAAAAACACCCAAAACGCTGCCATAAAAGCCCTGCAATGTGCCCAAAGATTTAGCAAAACTACTAACCATGTCTATGCGCGTCTTAGTCTTAGTATTCATGTTGTTTGAAAGTTCATATTCCTTTAACCTTTAAAAGATATAAGATTATGACTCATAAGGTCTCATACCATCACTACTTCTCACTTTGAGATTCAACATGAATCAATCTAATAACCCTGCATGAAAAACTTATGGACTACTATGCTAGGTACCATTTTCTCCCATATTTTCATGACTTTAGGGCATTTTCTAACGACATACATGATATATTCACAAACATTCTCACATAAATTACACATAGAGAATCTCATTCATTTCCTTCTTTTGCTAAAGTTGATGAGCAATCTATCATACTTCAAGAGCTAGACAAAACACTTTACTCTCTCCAAAATATTGAGGTTCCAAAATCATCAACTCCACACCTCATCCATAGTTTCCTTACCAAAATTGGACATAGCTCTATACATTTCTTTAATCGAAAAAACACCATCACCAATGTCAACCACGATAAATTCATCGCTCTCATAATCTGCTTTTGGAGGGAGGAGTGATTAAATATTATGCAACATCACTTAGACATTCAATTTTGTATCTTCTACCAACTTCACTCTCTATTCTCATTAACCAATTCGCTAACATTCACTCCTATTAACTCTTCGGAAATTTGCAAGTCATATTCACTAATGCAAACCTTTGTCTCCAACCAACTATCACTCTAACCTTCGATATCCCAACCGCATTAAATATACAATAAAATGTGATAATCATGTCTATATAATATTCTATTAATTTCTCTATTTATTTATCATTTATTTATTTCTTATAAATTATTTTGACACTTTCTCGGATATTAAAAAATGTTACAATATTTAAATAAAAAAGAGAAGTTATGGCCTATCATAGATTTATTTGTAGATTTGGGTTTGACCTTTTTAAAAGTCCGGTTGACTTATTAGTTTATATAAAAGTTTATTATATTTAAATATTTGTATTTACGCAATTCAACTAATAGTTAAATAGACTAATAAATTAAAATATCAACGTGATTAAATACTTATTCACATTGATCTAAAAAAACTCTTCTGTCTAAACATATGTATGTCATTCATCAGCTATTAGGTTGTCAGACTTATTCTTTGTCAGACTTATTCTCACTCCTAATTGGTGTATAGTCTGTCTGTTGTTAAAACATCGGTGGCCGTATACGAAGATTATACCATAATAAATTTTTATATTAAAATAAACCCAATCAAATAATAATATATTAAACTTGTATATTTGATGTATTTCGTCCTAATTTCATCAAATTTACTCTAGATTGTGTGTTTCTTGAACTAAGATTTTGCAAGAATAAAAACGAAACTCTGTTGTTCACTTCATCTGTGTAAACAAATGAACAATTATTTTCTCCCCTTTAACCACACAATGAAGATCAAACCAAAATCCACTCAAAACCATATATTAATTGAGCAAAGTATCATCAAATAATACAGAATGCTTAAATATATCAAAAATAAGTAGTGAACACACTTTCAGTTTCTTCAAAAACATTAAAAACACCAATGTCAATGGTTGCAATAACAGAAAATAAATAAAGTTGCAAAAAAGTTGAATCCAACCAGACAAATTCTGGGTCCTTCATATTCATAATCTTCCCATGTTTTCATATCTGGTACACAATGCCCTGCATAACAACATTCAACATAGAAATTTAATCGGTCTCCGATCGTAATCTAGGATACATTATATTATAAAAATTGTATTTCGCGACGCAATGTGACCGCGATTTAGCCTTCATTAGCAATATTTTACAGTAATTTTTCGCAATATCCGGAATATTGACATCAAAGTCTTAGAGGAATACCTGATAGAAAATGAAGATTGCAGCAGTATGCAGTTCATGTTTCTGATTAATGATGAGAATTAGAAGACGGCGAAGGCTGTTCCGAGCCAACTCCGTGATTCTCATGGTCTCCTTGAATTCTAGCAGGAATACAGAAACCTGTCAAAGCATCAGACAAAAACCTGCTACCGAAGATCGAACCATGGTGAATCGGCTGCTGAGATTTCTGATCATGATGATCGACAGACGAATCCGCCATTGGAATATCATTCCAAGGACGAAGCGAAGGCGAAAAACTGGACTGAAGGGTCCCCCTATGGGCGGAAAAGGCCGAACCGTGGCCTAGAAACGACGCGGGTGAATTATTAACCATGAAACCTGTTCTATTCATATTCATATTCATATTCATATCAGTCGTTGTTCCATGATGATCATTGTTCCAATTCACAATCCTATGATAATTAGCATCAAATCCAACATGGTTTGATTCAGAGAAAAGTGTTTGATCATTTGAACCTGAATTATCTTGGAACGAATGCAGAGAAAGACCAAGATCCTGCGTTGAGTTGTTTGTTCTTGAAATTATATCAGAAGAGTAGCTTTGAAAATTCATCGAATCACCGACAGAACTCGTCGGAAAAAACGCTATAGCATCATTATCAATACTTGATTGAATGAAACCTGAAGGGTTATGATTCTGGTTATGTTGATTATTCTGCTGCAAATTGTAACCAGAAGATTCTGAATTTTCCGCGGCAATAACCATTTTACTTCTTTCTAAACCATTATTATTCTCATCCTCTTCTTGAAACTCTTCTGTTGCATTCTCAATTGGATTCCATGGAGGAAGCTCATCGAGCTTATCAATAGCAGACTTAGCCTTCTTGATAAGCCAATCAACCGCTTTACTCGGCCTATCGTAGCCGAGCCGATCTTGAACATCGTAGAACTGTATCGCGGTATGCGCTGATAATCGAACGCGCCGATCGCGAGGACCTTTCGCAGTATAAACCTTGCTATGTCTATCTTTTCTACCAGTTGCTCTAACAATGTGACCTCCTTGAACTTGAACTATCTCTCCACCAGTACTCTTCATTCCCATTAATTTTTCTCTACTTTGAAAATTAAATTTCGAAACAATGCTTCTATTGTGTTTATGATGTTTTTCTCTAATGTGCAATTTGTTGCCACTTGGTTTAAAGTTTATGCTTCAAAATTCTTGAATATGACATCCACTATAAGAGTTGGATTCTTTTTTGTGGCCTTGTTTTTTTCTCTCTTCTAATTGATGTTGGATTTCTTATACATTTTCTTCATCTGCATCTACAAACAAACCAAAACATGAATATAGTACAAAACAACAAAAGTAAATCACTCAATGTTTTGTTTATGGGATTTGAACCGACTCATGTGCTATAAGAGAGTAAAAGGACATTGAACATTAATTTTAAATAAATAAATTATGTTGAGAATCCCAAAATTTTCTTAAGCTTTTTTGAACTTGGATTGAACATTGATTTTAATGAGGGGGTAAAAAAACACAAACTACAATAGGACATTGAAAAGAGTGATGTATGTCACATGGGGTTCAGAAGGTTTATGAGTGGATGATGCAGAATGAGGAGAAGAAAAAAATGGTACCTTTGGCCTATGAGAGCTTGTAGATGCTTGTGAAAAGAGTGACAAAATGTGCAATGAGAGAAGAGAGTAAAGATCTTTTTGGTCTTATTTTAGCCCCACAAATGATATTCTAATATTACAACAACTTGTCTACAAACTCAAACTATATACTATTATCAGTCATTTCTTTTTTAGTTTCACAACAAACTTTCTCAATATTTAAATATCTAAAAGATCTAATAACAAGTTTGTTCATTATACATAAATTCAGTCTTAATTATTATTTTAAGGCTATTTAAACATATTTAAAAAGTTAATCCTTTATTTTAAGGCTATGATACTTTTAGTAATTTATTATGTTATTTCACTTTTTTTTCTATAATAGATAATCATGAGTGAATTGTAAAAGCATAATATTATTAATTTGAATTTTGAAAACGAAAATAAAAAAAATTAATAAACAAACTTTCAAAAACGACACTTTAAAAGAAACATAAGAACTATTTTATATTGATTTTAGCAAAACAACTATTTTAATGATAACATCATTTAGTTTTTAATGTAATATTAATTACTATTTTAATTATATATGTATAATTACGTCAAAATTATATATTATATCATATTTTGAGTTTAAGATAGTGAAAAATAAATTAATAATTAATAAAAATAATTTAGTAAAATTATTATTTTCATTCTTTTATTTATTTCATTTTTAATGTTTGTACAAAATAATTAATCACATTTATTTTAAAACAGATATGATAATAACCTCTTTATTAGTTTTCTAATAAAAAAAACTCTCTTCGTCTCATAAAATATATTTTATTTAAATTCTTTATACCTCAAAATAATAATTTTTTATAATACAAACTTTTATTTTTATTATTATTATTATTATGGTTTTATTTATTGATGTTTGTTGAATTGCTTCATTAATTATAATTAATAAAAATATTATACTGATAAATCTTATAATTAAAATCAATAGCTTTAACTTTTTTTTAAAACTACAAAATTTTAATATAAACTTATTATAAACAATGCGAGTAATAATTTATTTTTCAAAAATTTAACCTAACATCTTTATTAAAGTCTTTCATATATATATATATATATATATATATATATATATATATATATATATATATATATATATATATATATATATATATATATATATATATATATATATATATATATATATATATATATATATATATATATATATATATATATATATATATATATATATATATATAACGTATCATATAATAAATAAAAAAATTTGGTTAAAAGATGTGAATTTAGTTTAATGTCGGTACAGTATCCTTGTAGTTGGTATGATTAAGGTGGTGGATGATATAGAAAGGTAAGTCTGAATTGGCAATGCCATATCTTCTACCCACAACCTTTGATAATGACATCTAACACCTTTTTTGCTTTCTTTCTTATCTCTCTCTCCTTTATGTGTTTTTTTTCACTTTTCACTATTAACAAATCTGTGATTTCATTAAAAGGAACAACATCCACTGTGCACTCTCATTACACTGCTACACTTTTATATCAATAAAATCACTCTTTCCTCTCAAAACACTGAAAATATGCAGATTTTGCTCAACTACAACAAGGGGGTGCACTGCAGAGAAAGGTGTTTCATTAAGTATTAGTAGCTTTGCATAAGTATCACATCTTTCTTTTTTTTTACTTGTGGGGTAAATGATAAAATGGTAATGTTCTATTATGTTTTTTTAGTCACATTTAACATGAGCCATTTTTTTAAAAAAGAAAATAAATCATTTTTAAAAAGAGTAAATAAGAAATACTCCAATTGTTACCTAAAGAATGTTGGATTTATTCCATGGGAACTAATTAAGAATATGCTTATTACACGTGCAATCGCTTTAAGGTCCACAAATTGATCGAATTTAACAAATGATCTTTCCTTTGTAGAAAGAAACATCAAGTGCCATTCTCTCATTCTTGATTACGCCATGTTAGATATTGGTAAGATTTGAAGCTTTTTTTTTTCTCCTTTCAAATAGTTGGATTTTAACTTTTTTAAAGGTGAATAAGTTGATGTAGAGATAAATACTTGATGAGAAATACACTCAAATTTATATTCTTAAAAACAATTGATATGAAAAAAAAAATTTTAATTTATTTAGAATTTAATTTCTTTTTTGATTGAAATTATGGGGTAGTTATGATATGAAGAAGAGAAAAAAAATTATTTTTATTTTTTAATTAATAAAAAATTGTGATTGATTATATGTAGAACTACGAGTTATGATTGTTTTTATTTTTAAAAAAAAATCTAATTTACATATTCAAATTCGTGCTATTGCAATTTTATGTATGTATATTGTTGCTTATTGAAATAGTTTAATTTAAGGGAATGAAACTTAATTGGTTTTTAACTTATTTAATTTATATTTTATTAGTTGAATAGTTAAGTCTATAGTTAGTTATAATTATTTTTTTTAAATTATGTGGGTGGGCCTAACTTAACTTTATAAAATTGGTTTGTAGGTGAGAATTATCTCCACTTATAGACATATGTTTAGGGTAAATATTATCTTATATAGGACATTTAATACATCCCCTCACATTCAGGACTGAGTATATAGAATGTGAAAATAAATAGTGGGTGTCTCGATAGCAGAAACCTCATTGTAGGTGTCACTACAACAAATAACATTTCTTGTGACGAAATTTTCACCAAGAACAATATAAAATCAAGAATGTATGTAACGGGAGTGCCTTGTTTAAAAAAATCAATTTGTTACCTCAGTTTCATGAAAACCCGACATAAATATATGTTCTTAATTGACTGTTTATGGTGTAGTGTTGTGGTGATGGTTTTGTTCTCAATATATAGTGACTTTTGTTGAGATAATACTCTTAGACTTCTTAGATGGGGAACTCATGTTGTTATAGGAAGTTAAGAAGAATATGTTGAAGATGATGAAATTCAGTATATGAAATTGTGCATTTATAAAAGACATTGAAAATGAAACATCCGGTGATTTAATGCTTGCAATGATTACTTCTGATAGTTGATATTTTTGAATGACGTGTGACTGTCTTGAGAAATGAAGAAAATATTCAATTATATTCGTTTCTCTCTTTTAGAAAGAGCAAAGGTTGTCCCTGTTTTTTTTAATCAAAATTCAATTTTTTCCACATATTTTTCATTTGCAAGGAGAGTAATGCATCCGATTTTTGCAAATGGTTGTCATGTATGCCTAAGTTTAATGTAATTACTTGGAGTGCATACGAAATTTCTAAATATAATTTTTCATTTCTAAACAAGTTTTTTATATTACGGATCCTTCTAACACTAGATGATCAATTGTTCTTTAAGGTAAACATCTTCCTGATAATACTGATGAAAATCAAGCATCTGAAGAAAATGATTCATATGATATGCATGTTATTCGTCGTGATTATTAAGAGAGGATATGGGGAAACTAGTAAGTAAATATTTTATATCCCTTTGAAATTTGTAATTAATCATTTTACTCATGTTTAATCATTGTACTATATATTTAAAGTTATTTTTGATTGACCTAATTAGTTTCAAATGTTGTTCAAACTATTGGTGCTTAAGGAATCTGCAAAATATGATTCTATATTCAGGAATATGGTTATGTAAACAGGTGCAAACGACAGTACAAAAAAAACTTATCCCCAAGGTGTTTACATAAAACCGAGTTAATAAAATTGAGATATTACCTCAGTTCTACAAAATAACGAGTTTTATTATTGGGCGCGTCATCCTGTTCTAAAAATTATAAAAATGCAGATGTTAGGTAGTATGCATAAATAGTTACATTGCATACATTTGTGGACATATGGTCCATAGTTGGTGAGCCTAAAATCCCATTGTGTGGACTGGGGCTAGTAGCTGATTCAGAGGTGATGGATCAGTGAGTGGTTCTGGTTCTAGGAGGTGGGGACCAGAACGGTGAACCTGGGTGTTCACGAAAGTTGGTACCACATCCATACGCATTGAGCCAGTGTGAGTCTAATTGCATTATATGTCATCTATGTTGCTAAGGGATCCACGGTCGCTCGTGGATCAAAAACGAGAGATTTTTGAAAAAGTACAGTAACGGGAAGCGACAACTCGAATATCGTTCTCAAGGATGCTTGATTATTACTAATCGAATACAAATGGGGGGGTTAGGTTTCTGATTAAGAAAAAGCACTTGAAATAATTAATTACTGAAATAAGTGATTATAGTAACGGATCCACTGCCTCGGTTCTTACTAATCATCGACTGATGAAATTACAATTTCTCAAGCGGATCTTCTATCCTATTGACGACAATATCAGTCAACAAGCGTGATTGATATCATGAGAAACATGTTCCTATCGCCGAATTAAGCATACGGTAAAAGATAGTGCAAATTAACAATTAAGCAGAGTTAGTCTACGATTAAAATTAGGAACACAGATCAATCAAATTAAATCAA